ATGTCAGAGGGTAGAGGAGGAAGAAAGATCTCAGCGTGGAGCCCGTCAGCTGCCAACTGTATACGCATGCGCATGCGAGTGAACTTGTGAACACAAGTCCAACTTGGCCGGTCTACAAAGATTCCGATTTTACAACATGCTCCTGGAGCATGTTACAGAAATCAGAAAATGACTTTGATTTCAAATTAGGCTTTCACGAAGGTTTTAGAAAATACATTCAGTACTATCTACCAGAAGAAAACTTGGGGTAGTTTTCTGGAGACAGTGCACTCCACACCGGATCCCGTGTTTCTGAACATTGCCTCGGAAAGGAATCTTTCCTTTGCTTTGAAACAATCGGAGCTTGGAGCTGTAGCTCGAGTTTATTAGTGATTTTAAACACACCCTTGGAAAGCAAGTTAGCTTCCAGGTGGGAAGTGAGTTCCAGCAGCCGGGAACAACAGTCAGGAAAGCTCGGGGACAGACAATCCTGTGGAGCCTGACTTCGAACAATTCTTCTGGGTTAGGAAGATGGCTCTGTCAGCAGAGCGCTCTCTGCACAAATATAAGCGGCTGCATTCAGATCTTTAGCACCCACATTAAAAACTAGCGGGGCATGGTGGGCCGTGCGTCTGTAGCCCCAGGGCTGGAGGTTCACGGGACAGAGGCAAGAGGATCCCTGGGGCTCGCTGGCAGACAGCCTAGCTAAACCGATGCGAGCCAGGTTCAGTGAGAGGTCTTGTCTCAAAACCCAAAGCCCAGAGCTATTGAGAGGAACACTGGATACTAACCTCTGGCCTTCACCTAGATGTGCACACGTGTGCATGTGCACCTGCAAACAAGCATCACACACACACACACACACACACACACACACACACACCGCTCTTCTACCAATTAGCCATCTATTCAACAAAAGGCAAGGGGATCTTCGCAAGAAACTTGCACCTTCTACATAAAGACGGAGATAAAAGGGTTCAGCCGCCCCAATTTGGCGTCTCTAAAAATGCCGTTTGAATCCCTAAATTTTGTCTGCTTGGTTGTCTAGCAACCAAGTGCAGAAGAGAAACTCCACCCAAACACAGTGAAGCAACACATTCGGTTCATGGGGCTGGGTGTACACGTGTGCCTGTGTAGTATCGTCAGTGTCGGAGACAGAAACTTGCCTGCATCCAAAGCAGAGAAAGTCCTGAGTGTAGATGGCAGGAGAGGACGTGAGGAGCGAGGCAAACGCAACAAGAAAATGTGCAATGCAGGATGAGGGTATAGTTTCCACACACTGGGCTAAAGCAAGGTTTACACTCTTAAGCAATAAAAACAAACCATTAAGCGAGGCCCAGCACCGTCAGGAAGTGTAAAACAGTTCTTGAAGCTTTGCAGTCGCTCTACAAACGCTTTTCATAAACTCTGTTTCCTGATCTTCATTAAACGTTAACATCAAGTTGCCACGGGGCAATTAGCTTGCCTCCTGAAATCAATAAAAAATCAACAATTTGGAAATAGTTGTACAGTAAAATAGTTCAATAATTATTCTCTCATAGTGTTGTGGCCAAGCAGTTCCAGGGTAAATTCGGTCCAGATGAGTTCCTGTGCCTTACGAGGGAAGCTGTGACCAGACCCGGGCTTTGCTGGGAGACCTCCTCATCAGAATGGACTGCGGCAGTAATGGACTCCCGGCAATGCCCTGGCGTGGGGCCCGGCACACAGGCAAACATGAGCTTTTAAGTGCTGTTAAAGTCAGCATCCGCTGGAGCACCTCAGAGGGACTCAATTCAAGGTTTAGAGACCTAAACACAAAGATAAACCCATCAGGGCAAAAATAGCGCCTCTACTCTTCAGCATTCAGATTCCAGACAGGAGCAAATTAAAATGTCTCTCAGAGATATGCATGCATGGTGGTGTGTGTGCATGTGTATGTGTGTGCATGCATGCGTGTGTGTGTGTCTTACACCACTAAAGACTGGTTGAGATTAAGAATTTATACATTTCATCTTTTATTTCTTAGACAAACCCTCAAATCTGAGGTGCTTGTAAATGTCTTGTGGGCTGAGGAAGGAGATTCACAAATCACCCTCCATGCCCAAAGGGTGTTGGGCTAACGAGAGGTGAGGATACCAAGCAAAGACAGGAAGCTATTTTCACGCTGACTCTCTGCAGAGGGAAACATATTCCTTTTGGTTTTTCTCTAGCTTACGCCATTCGCATAAGCACTTTATTCCAACCCAAGTGCAGCCTAGAAAATTCTGACTTCCATTAGATCAAACCTTCAACACCAGCTTTGGAGTCTTACTCCGCCCTCTAGACTCGGTGAAGTAATACAGGGTACTATCTTGTAACTTACAAAAAAAAAAAAAAACGAGCATAATTTTCTATAAACAAATGCTTCAACTGCATGACATCTACCCGCTGCCTTCAAAGGGAAACCTTTAACTCGGGTGCTTGGCACTAAGATCACACAGGATCAGCTTGGTGCACTGTCTTGAGTGTTAAAAGTTTCTGAAAGTGCATTTTTAAGGGCTTGCACCTGCTCACTATCCATATAGATGTACTGACACGTATTTGACTAAACTGACTACAGCATGTCCAAGCACGCAGGCGGAGCAGATTTTACAAGATAAGCAACCAAGTGTTTTCATGTCTAAGAGGAGCTAGAACACAAGTTTGCCAGTCATCTTCTAGTGGAAAAGAATGTCTTCGGGAAAATGCGCAGGGCACTGTTTTAGACGCCACTGCAACCCAGCTTTGCAGCCTGTTTCTTTCCATCTGCGCGCGGCTTTTGTTCGAAGGGGCTCCACTTGATGCGGCTTCTGTATTTTCCGACCGAAAGAGCAATCAACAGAATCTTGCCGCTCGAACTGTAGTCCTCTGGCACGGGATGCCGGGGTTTCACCTGGGACTTCATTAGGCATTCAGGACCTCGGGCCCCACCCGGACCACGGTGGCAGGATTCGTAAAGTAGCTGACTCCATGAGGGCTGTATCCACATCAAGTTTTATTTCCCTCAAGGCATTATGGAGGGTTGAGGTACACGTGAAAGTCGAACCAGTTTTATTTAGAACGGAGGCACTGCGAGTCAGGTAAAAGTTCACTTTGAAGTCTGTAGAGCAGGGAACTAGTCAGAAAAGTCTGCCCTAGAGAATATCATAGGCTGTAATTTATGCCAGCTATGTGAAGGAAAGGAGAGATGCAATTTACCTGAGTCGAGCAGATGTTTGGGCCTCCCCCTAATCTCACCCTCCCTGCCCTTTCCCGTGCAAGACACAAAACAGAACCTGGATATTCTGATTTCCTCATGTTGCCAATTTACACCCACTGCCCCCCCTTTTTAAATCCTTTGGCCTTTCAGTCGAAGGAGAAGAGCGTGAGGGGTATGGCATATTAGTACCCAGTGAATCCTTGTCTCAACAGCAAGCCAGCTGAATAGACATTAGCTAAGTGACCGGATGCGGCTTTGATTGTGCAGATGGATTTTTTTTTCCATCCTAAAAAACTAGAGGGAAAACCTGAACCACTCAGGTTGTATAAGAATGACACAGCTCCATCTTGAGAAACCTCTACACCTTAATGGAACTCCAAAACGTCACCGTCCACATATGTAACATATCTTCACATATGTGTATGCATAAATTAGAGCATATACACACTGTGTACATAGATATGTATATACATACACATCATATGGGACCTGTTCTTCCTCAAGTAGAAACAGTGAAGCAGAAAGCTTGTCAAGGATGCCCTGCCAGAAGATGGAATCCTTGTCGGATATTCCCACTCCTATCTCGAGAACTTGGAGAAACACGAGAAAACATGGGCCATTCTTCTTAAGATGTTAAGACTGTAGTTTGTGACTAGAACCCATGGCAAGACACAGCAAAGAATGAGTGAAGGGCGAGTAGGACTTGGCTACCCATAGTTGGCTCTAACGGTTTCTACCTGTGCAAAAAGCAACGACAGAAAGGGACAAGGAAGAATGCTTTAAAAGATAACCAGGATATTCACTCAAAACAAGATCTCCAAAACTTCAAAGCCTCTAATGGTAGCATGCTCAAGGTTATCCATGTTAATACTGGAGAAGAATTTAATTCAAACAGCCCTCCTCATCGTGAGCACACTGCTTTCTGATTCCATTCCAAGACAGGGGTTGGGTAAGGGGGTAAGAACTAGGCTTCAGCCATGAGGGGCTACAGGAGGACCCCCATTCAGGAAACTGACCTGAAACACTGCCCTAAACTGACATTGCAGATTCCCTGGTCTGCAAACATAGCCACAAGCCCTGCCTAGGTTTTACTTCCAACCTGAGCACGGAAGCTCTGCCACTGCTGCCGGTTCCCTCTCCCGGGCTGCATTTGACTTCACTCTGTGTGGGCAGCTGGCCAATTGGCAGATGTCTTCACAGAAGCTGATCCCAGACACTCTCTCCTTCTAATTTGTTGGCATTGTGGCCTCTGTTGCATGGGATGTCATCTCTGGGACTTTACCTTGAGTTCCTTCTGCAAGTTTTGCCTTGTTCTAGCCTTGGCTTTCCCTCACTTTCTTTCCCGCTCCTGAAAACTAACTCATGGGTAAGTCCTTTGGTGCAAATAGGGTTTGTTTGGAGTTTTCCAACTGTTTAAGTCCCCCTCTTCCCGCCACCTTTAAATCAGTCACTTCAGCAATGAAAATGCACAGAGAGAGAGAGATCCTGGGAACACTTAAAAATGCACTATCTGCTCTCATGAGTTAGATTTTAAAGGATGAAATGTCAGAGTTTCTGATATTTATTATTGGAAACAGGTTTAACATTTGGAGAAATGTGTCCAAATACACATCCCGGGAAAGAAAAGTAACCTGACAGGTGAGAGAACAGGGTGTAGGCAGCAAACAAGGTGCTCCATGTTGCTCAGTGTTGAGCAAATGTAGAAAATTGGGTGCTTTGGAGAACAAAGAGCTTGCTGATATGGTAAACACAAAAATACAAATCGATTTTCACTTCTTTGTGAGGGCCACAAGATAATCAATTGTACATATATATGACCACAATGTTAATAAAGAAGAAATATTATATTTTATTTAGTACTTTGGCCAGATCAGCCCCCTGGAAGGGATCATAGGTTTAGGAAAGAACAAGACGCCATTATCATTTCCTGACATGGTCACAGTTTTCCTATTGATTTCCACTGGTTCTGCTTTATTCTTTCTGCAAGGAGAGCTTTGCAAGCAGATCAGTAATGTCTGGTTCTTATCCAAATATCCCCCCTAATAAGAATGAAAGTTCTCACGGATTGGACAACCACTCGGCAACATTCCTGAGAATTGAATAATATAATAATCTTGAAAGTCAGCAGAGTGGATTATCCATTTTTTTTTTTGGACTTGAACTTGTGAACTTAACAGTAGTGCTGCAAAAAACAAAAAGCAAATGTGCAAGCACTTTGCCCAGTAACCTTCCATGTAGACTTCGCATCTTAAATACACACAACTGAAAAACAACTACAATTTTTGGAAAATTATATACAAACCCGATATTTCTTTTGATTACATATAAATACAAATTAACTATCTTTTTCCTAAAAAGTGGTTATAATAGTAAATAAATACAAAATAACTCTGACCATTATACTTCATGTGCTGGAGTTGAACCCATATAAAATGTACAACTAAATACATTTTAAATCTTTAAGGAATAATTCTCTGATTAAAATATTTGCTTTCCCAACTTCTTTTTCGTAGATATAAATATATTTTCAAAATAGCTGTGTTTTTTTTTCCATTCCATTCCATAAATAAAGTCTTCATTGGGAAATATTAAAGTGTCAGCTGGTTTTGGGGGGGGGAGAGTAGGGTTTTTTTCTTTTTCTAAAATATATATATTTATTTATTTATTTGTGCTGTGCTAACGACACCCACAACCCTCCACAACCATGTCCTGATAGTTTTTTAGCACAACCTTTTCATTCTCGTCTAGGTACAACATGGAGATTGCGCTGAGCTCCGTAGGCACACAACATGCCTTCGGGATCTTGGAATTCACAGAGTTCACGAGCGTCTGTACTATGGCATGGTTAGTGGAGTTCAGGTGATCCGCCAGGGGAAAGGGACATTCCCCGTGGCAGTAAAAGGCATGATAACCCGGAGGGGCCACAATCCAGTCGTTCCACCCCACATCGCTGAAGTCCACGTACAAAGGGTGTCTCTTGCAGCTGGACTTGAGGCGCTTCCTCTGTTTGTGCTTGGCTTGACGCTTCTCCCTTCTGTGGAGTGGATGTCCTTTTCCATCGTGGCCAAAAGTCACTAGCAATGGCCTTATCTGTGACCAGCTATGTTCATCTTGGTGCAAAGACCTGCTAATCCTCACATGTCTCTTAGAGACACCTGGTTTCTCCTCCAGATGGGCCACTTCCACCACAAACCCATAGTTGGCATGTCCCTGTGCAGTCCACCGCATCACGGCCGGGGTGACATCAAAACTCTCCCACTGGCTTGTGTTCTGATTCACTAGTCTGGTGTCCAGTAGTCTGGTCACAGGGAATTTCAAGCTGGTTGCTGCAGGCTTTATAATTTCATAAATATTAATTCGGTGCTGGAAACTATCGTTTCCCAAAGTTTCCTGCATCTGTTCCCGAAAAATCTGGAGTTCTGCAGACGTGATGAACTCTTCCGTGGGGACAGAACTTAGGTTGAAGAAGAAGCGGCGGGCTGTTTTCCCACTCATTTCTGGGAGTTCTTCTACGGCTTCTAGTTCGATCAAAGAAAAAGGAAAGCATTCAGTAAGAAAGCCAATGGTAATTTACTTCCGTATGAGGAGTTTAAAACCTCAATGTACAATTCGAGTTAAAATGCATCAAAGTTTGCAACCAGAGAGTAAAAATGTCAGGGCTATAGGGACACTGTCTGTCTCCTTTCCTTGGCCCTGGGTTTAATGCTCAACCCTTTAAAGGAAATCAAACTATCTCATCTCTAAAGTGAAAATAGAGTTGAGTCTCATTTTCCTTTTTCTATATGATCACATTTAGTTTGTAATTGCTATGCTTTTAATCCAATATTTGAACATAGCTCCTAGGTAGCTATAATAATGGAGGAAATAGTGAAACGCTTCTTTGGAATTCACAGACTTTAAGGGGAAAAGTCAGTACTATAGTTAGTAGAGGGCTAATGACTGAGGGGCTGAGGAAATGATTGCATTTCTTAACTAAGAAAACGAGCTTTCATGTCAATCCCTTAAGCGGCATTTGAAAACATCACTCTGCAATTTAGATGATTTACAAATCTCAATATACAGATTTCAGTCTCTTAATTAAAGACTCCGGAACTCAACATCAATGATGACATTTTACAAAGCGCACCCTACCATTTTGCTCAGAACTCCAGAGACAAAGGTATGGGTGGCACGGGGACACTGTAGTAATTAACGATAGAGAATTTCAGGAGGAATGGCTCCCGACTGCCTGTTCTCTCATCCCTGTCGCATCCTTATTCGACCCCTGAGCCGACACAGCAGTCTGAGACTCTGGCCTGCATAACAGCTGCTCTGGGAAGGGGCCTGTAAGCCTGCACTTCCACCAAGCTCTCAGGGAAGAGATGCTGCAGGTTATGGACCACACTTGGGTGTCAAGAGTATAAAAGATGTTCCTCGCATACAAAGGAAGAGTGACAAAGAAGCAGATTTGCAAAGCCCCTTTTATGGAAGAGGCCTAAGTATTGGCCAGTGAGTAAGGATTCAGGCTACCATCAGCCCATCAGGGACTAAAACAGGGGAGTCTTCCAAAGCTCTTCTGCTTTGACATGAAGAACACTAGGCCAGCCGGGTACCATTCATGGTCCTCTTGCACCTGCTTGCCAATAAGTTCTTGATGATACCTTTGGGGACCCATTTCCGTTCTGAACTCCACTATCAGTTAATGGTACTTTAGGGCAGGGACATTCCTAGAAAGTCTGAAGGACTGTATTTATAAGAACTCATTTTGATTGCTCTTCTTGGGTCCCTTAATGGTTCTGTCTGAGGCACTTCTTCAAGGGAAAAAAAAAAACAGTAGAGACATTCCCCCCCCCAACCCTAATCACACCAAATCATACTGACTTCTCCTGACATTGGCACAGCAAGGTACATACTACTTCCTTGAAAGACAGAAGATAAAGACCAGTTCCCCAGGGTCTTCCACAAAGGGCTGCATTCGTCAACAGAGAAACACAGTGGCAACCAAATCCCTGAATCCCAACTCACAAAGAAGGCAAATGTGACAATCATAAGTACACACACGCATGTAGACTCATACATGACCATAGGACAAAGCAAAGGGGCAATCCCCAAGACAAATATGGGAGACAGGTCCTTGAAGCAGCAGAGAAGAATATCTGTCTAAGAAGTCAAGTCAAGATTGCCCTCTTCCAGCTGAAGCATAGAAACAGCCATTTGCTGGGGCCTGTCACTTGGGAGGTAAGAAGTATCAGCAAGACAGAGTAAGTGGCCTTCACAAAAGAGAACAATGCACTACCCAAAACTAATGACAAGAGAAAGACCTATCTCCGACCTCCCAGCAGCATTTCTATTAGCCTAATCCTTAGGAGACCCCATCCCAGCCTTCATAACAAGGTGTGTACTGTTACTGTTCACTGAAACCATACACAGAAGTCAAGAATTGAAAGAAAATCTCAACACAGGAGGCTTACTGCTTAGGTAGGGTCAGGACACAAACATCTTTTTTTTTCCTTCAAGGGACAAGGTGCAACCTCTTCTTGAGAGTGGGGAATTGAAAATCTCTTTTAAATAAAGTAAATAATAGGAAAAGGTCTCTACAAATCATGATAGCGAGCCTGGGGCTCAGAAAATACAGAGGGTAATGCACACTTTCTGGAGGCTGAACTGGCTGCTAATTCTCTGTAAACATCCCCTGTTGAATCAGCTGAACTTGCTAAGGGATTTCAAGATTTTTACCTGGCTTCAACCTGAGTATCAGGCTCCTAGTTCTTAATCAAATAGAAGAAATGATTGGCTGCAAAAATGTTTAAAAAAGGGGGGGGGGAGAAAATAGGATAGCAATGCCATTCCATTTCTTTTCTAGAAACAAAGCCTAGATTTAACATTCCACACTATGATCATGTCTATGAATTACCTTACAACAAGCTCATTAGAGGGGAACCGTGATTATCTCCATTTTGTGAATGAAGGAGCTGGGAATTCAGAGAGTTTATGTGACTTCTCTTAGGTCACAGAACTAACTTGAGTCTGCAGCAATGCCCAAGTTCTAGCCATCGGAAGGCGTGAGGAGAGAAATCAAATCCTAAGCAACAGTCCAAATCCTTAGGAATTGGTACCTTACACCATGGTATCTGTCGAGTGAGGCTTTGTTCCGGGAATCAAAACACATTGCCCAGCTACCCTTTGGACATGTAGCCAGAGCTAAACGAACAGAAATGTGACACAGCCAAACGGGACACACAGACATTGTTTGGAACTTACTCTCAGTGGCTACTTGTTTGCCCCTAAAGTAGGGTGAGTTTTAGTTCAAAAGTTATCATTAAGCTTGGAGGATTTTGCAACACTCTTTGGACAGAACACATTCCTCCATCCAAACAACAACAAAGCCTGGGGCTGCTCCAGATCAGCAGCTGCATCTCACTCCTGCAACAAGATGCAAGGGACTTTGGGCCACACATGACTTTCTACAGGACAGAGTAAATGACACACCAAAGAGGAGAAAAAAAGTTAAAATACACAGAATTAAGTTTCAATTTTGAGATAACAAAGGAAGTGGGGGGAAAGGAAAGCAGACTCTGGTGGTTGCCACTAACTCCACATGGTCTCTGCTCCCCTGAGCACAGCACCTTCAGGAGGACTGGGCTTCTGGAGGTCCAGTCTAAATAAAGACTGAGTGAAATACCCCAAGGGCACAAGGACAAAAGCAGCCTGGAGATGAGTCAGGAGGAATCCAAAGGGACCACTGACAAATGAGAGGCAAGGACTATCTGCAAACTGAGCAACTGTTTTCCCCACAGGGTCTCTGTAATCACACCGTGACAGCTAGAGGCAGATAGGAGCATGCCTGGTGTCTGTGTCCAAACTCATACTGGAATTTTGGACCATGCTTTCACCACCACGAGGCAAAGTTACTCTACAATGAACAGTCTTGCAAAATGTCCTGTGTGCGTTAATGATTATAGAAAAGAGATGTTACAGTGAAAATGACATCCAATTGCACCAGATAGGCCAGTGCACGTTACCCTAAGCAAGTCGATAACTTCTATATAGCTTTACACATGAAAATCACTTCTAAAGATAGAAATTTTTGTTATCAACTCAAGCACACCAAGTTAAACTAACACAGAGGGATATTACCTTGCCTGTGTTTATCAAGTCACTTCCAAGGGAAGATTGAGAAGATGCAGATTTTACTGAGGAAACTTTCATTCAATTGCAGCTTTGTGTTTTAATGGACTTAACAAGGGTAAAATACATACTTGGTTTTTTTTTTTTACAAATAAAGAATAGTTTTCATGCTAGAAAAGACTAGTAAATGAAATACACAAATAAACAGGTTTTCATGCTAAATCTCCAGAGGCATCAGGGGAAACAGCTGTGTCCTCCCCCCCACCCTCTTATCTACAAAAGCTTTCTGATCACTGTCAACTGGGAGAGATTAGCTTGGGCCGGAATCACCTCAGGGTGGTGAGGATGGAGTGAACACACCTGAGTCTCCCTGCTTTCCGCTGGCAGACCCTGAAGACCAGGATGGGGTTCCACTATCTTTCAAAACTGAGAAATCTGTTTGAAAGAGATGGATTTTAGAATGCCCTTCCTGAGTAGCTGCCTCTGGGAAGATACACCTCTTGCTACATGACCTACCTGTGGACTTTTTCCTATAATCAAGCAGACTTCTCAAAGTTTAAGACATGTATTATGGAGGGGGGGGCATTACTATTTTGGGGCATAGATGTTCTTTTGCTTGAAATTTATCCTCTCAGCAAGGCAAAGCAGAATCTTAAAAGGGAAACTTCTCTTATAGCTGCCTACTGTTCTAGAAATTGCTGCTCACTGACAGACAACTGCATTCTTCTAGAACTTGAAGGAACTGATATTCTATATAGAATACATGAAGCCAAAAGAACATTTAAAGTGACACACACAGACACACACAGACACACACACACACACACACACACACACACACACACACACCAGAATTGAGCTGGGGCGTGATGTTTAACTAACTGAACTAAGAACTTTGGTGCAAGGGACTTCAATAGGACCTCTAAGACATTTCCAACCCACTAAACGTCTTTCTGATGAAGTGAACAGAAATGCCCTACCTTGGGAAGCCACATTCATATCAAAAGAAAAAAAAAAAACAAGCCACTGCCTTGCACAGGAAGGTAGCAGTCAGTAGCAGAAACAGCCTTTATCTGAAGGCTTGCCCTGTCTCCAGTTGGTGACTAAGATTTAAACACGAGACGGGAAGGTCATTGTAGAAACAATAAGATTGATTGTGGAATTGATCTCCCACGGGGATTAGATAGGTATTCAAAATCTTTCAAACTAGGCTCAGATCAACAGTAAATTTGAATGCTTTGGGGCTCTGGGCTTTAGTCTGTTAATATTATCCTTGAACTTTCGGCCCTTGGTTCTGTCTAGCCCGAAACTCCAGAGTGAACACAAGACACAGAGCTTTCGAACAGATTTTAAGGAAGCCAACCCTCCGCCTTCTCCTGTGCAGTTCAGGCACGTTTAGCTGACTAGGGACTAGCCAGCCTTTTACCCTCTTCCCCATCACTCGTTTTCCCTCCAGTTCTTGGAGGAGGAGTCGTCTTCTGGCTCCCTGCCAGGAAAGGGTGCGGACTCACCAGTGGGGAATCCCTGGCTCGGGGCCACAGAGGGGACGGGACAGAAGCAGAGGGGCCGTCCGCTGTACTAGCGGAGGCCCGGGCTACCCGCCGAGTCCCCGCCCGCTGTCTCCGCCCCGCCGCCCGCCACCCGCTCACCTTCGTGGTGGAAGCTGCGCACGGTGTTGGCGCGGCTGGTTGCCTTCTCCAGCCGGTGGTCCGGGGCGGGCGCTCCTGGCTGGCCCGAATGCCGGCGGTACAAGTCCAGCATGTAGGGGGGCACCACGGCGTCCTTGCTGGGGGTGGGTCTCTGCTTTAGGCCGAACATGCTGAGCAGCCTCAACTCAAACTCACTGAGAACGTCGTCCGAAGGCCGGGACAAGGGGCGGCCGGATGCCGCGGCGAACTTCTTGCGGCCCAGCTCCGGAATGAGGCCGGCCGCGCCGCCCAGGAGGACCTGGGGAAGCAGCAACACTAGAAGACAGCGGGTCCCGGCCACCATGGTCGACCTGCGGACAGGGCCGACGTGAGTCACCCACGTTCCCCGCCCAGTCCTTCGCCCGCCCCCGCGGCCCCGGCTCCCATAGGGCTCGCTGGCCTTCTCCAGGATGCCCTCCTGGCATGTCAGGCTCAGGGCTACAACCCGGATGATCAAGAGGATGGAGGACCACAAGTCCCTGTGCTTTCCCACCTCTCATACCATTCCCTGCCTACATTGGGCTTCTCACTTAGGGCTTGCTCTTCACTCCCAATAAAAGTCAATGACCACCATTCACCTTTTCATATGACAACCAGCTAGGAAGGTGGTGTCAGGAAGCAGGGAAGCCACCGGTTGGTCTGACACACTGCATCTCTTACCAAACTATACCGTGCAGCGCTCGTTTGCACATAAACAGACACAAATGCACATGTGACTTCCTTAGAAGTGCCTTATAGAACTTCCTGGTAGGCAAATATATCTAACCTGGAGATTCGGCAAGCGCTAAATTCAAGATTACAACTTCTGACTCCACTTTCAAGTTGTGACCCCAGCTCAGGGTTGACCTACTGGCCACTCTGTCCCCTTCCCTAGACCCCTGTTAAGTCAAGGAAGCCATGCTCTTTACTGCAATTATGTAAATGGTAGTTTCTATGAATGCACGTGTAAACTGTGACACATCACATCCTTGCAGTAAACACACAGCGGAGCCCAACTTTAAGTACCTTCCTTCCGAAATGGACCTAGCTCTTAAGACAGACTCCAGGTCTCAGGCATAATTTAAGGACAGCCAAGGTATCTCTACCGCAACTAACGGGTGAAATCCACTGAGTTTCTGTAACTTTTTTTTTTTTTTTGTAAAGCCATTAAGTCTCTAACAGACCTAATTATAGACCGAAAATTGGGGAGAAGGACGGGCCGGCGAAAGAGCGCAGGCCAGGTGGGCAAGGCAGAGGGGTCTGGGGTTTGCGATGCCTGGCCCCTCTAGGGCGGACTTCGCTGCACGTGCACCAGGAGAGGGTCTGTTTACGTCCACTCGACCGGTCCTCCGTGACGCTCAGCGCCGCATGGCGGGAACGCGGTGTCACCCGTCAGCCCCGGGTCCCGGCCCCAGCCCGTGTCCTCTACCTTTAGGAGACCGCAGTCCGTCTAAGAAGCACTCGAGGGCACGTCCATTGAGAGAGTCTCCACATGGAAAAAGCTCTGTCCGAGGGACCTGGAGCAGCGACGGGGTTTCTGTTGTCTTTCTTCTCTTTCTTCGCCTTGTCCTCCTTCTCTCGGTGTCAGCCGCTTCGTCCTTCTCCCCGTGGGGAACGGTGTCTTGGGGTGGACCAGGTCGGCCGAGGAGCAGAGAGGTGACGGGATTGGAGGCAGCAAGACTGAATCCGCCCGGCGAGGACACCGGCGCGAAGTGGGGAGCCCAAGTCGCTCTCCCGGCAAGTTCAAGAAGTCTCCAGCCAAGTGCTGACACACAGCCTCAAGCAGGGGGAGGAGTGCGGGGCAGGGACGGGAAGGGAAGGGAAGGCAGAGGCAAGGCTGCCGCTGTCGTCGTCCTCAGAGATCAGCTCTGGTAGGGCGCGGGGCGGGCTCCGGGACTCGCCGGGCGAGGGTCGGACGCTCCGCGCTAGCTCGGCCGCGACCCATGACTCGGGGCAGCCATCCTGGGAGTCGCCGGGTCCGGGGAAGGGCGCAGCGAAGATCTGGGCGGCGGACGGGCCACCACTCCGCATCCCTCAGCCTGACTCTGGCGCACCCCCATCAGCGCTCGCCAGCGGAGCCCGCACGACTGCGGTGCCCCGGCGTCCTGGGGCGCATTCTCCAAGCCAGTTCAACCGCGTCCCGGGCAGCCAAACCGGGTGACCTCGCGGTCGGAGCCCTCGGGCCAAATGTCTTTTGTGGCAGTCTGGGGTCCGCTCACTCCTCGGCTCACGCGCCCCGGACGCTCGGAGTTTGGTTGGAGTGGCCCCGCATTCCGGGCGCGGCGGGGCTGCCGACTCCCGGCTCTTCGCGTCGATCCGCGGCTCCGGCTTCTCCCGGGCAGCCGAGGCCACAGCGCCAGGCGCGCACAGTCAGGAGCTCCAACCCGAGGCGTGCCGGTGTCTCGAAGCCACGGGTGACCCGCGCGTCGCTCGCCCCGAAGGCTTCCGGTGACCGGCGGCGACTGGGGAGGCAACGTCCCG